AAGAAAACTAGCACTAAGGGAGAGAATGGATACCTAATGAAATGTCAGAAACATTGAATACCTGTATTGAATTTTGATCCTAATGTAACACATTTTCTTTTAGGGATGAATGAAAAATAGAATTTTTTCTGTGCTAGATTTTTGCTTACTTTTCATATTTTCTGCAATTAAAAATGCCTTTAGATACTTTTAAATGTTGTTTTTACTCTAAAAAATTGAAACTGTTCCATGGAGCTCTTCATTTTGAAAACAACATTTCTCCATTAAAAAGTATCAATGGGAAATTTTAGAATAGCTCAATTTCTTTCTGTGGAAAGTGAAAAATGATTCTGACAGGCAATCCTAATAAAAGATTTTCATATTTATCAACTAAGGACTGCCACCTGAACTCCAGTGAATGTTGTGGGGGCTCAGCATTGGAATTCAGTGAACATTTTCATCCCACAGAACAGTTCGTTCACACACATGTATCTACTGTTTTCTTATTAAAAAATGGAGATAGGTTCCAGTGTAGCACATAGATCTCTGAAACTCAAAATCAATGAACCAGCATGCTGTGATACAGCACAGAACAGGTAACAAAATGTTATCTAGAAGTCAGACTTTCACTGTTAGAATTTTTTTTTCTAGGATTCCTTGAGAGAAAATGTTAACAGTAAAAATTTTGAGAATCAAGAGCAGATATAAGTGCAACAGGCTGGCTGTCTTACTAATAGATCACTGTACAGCTCTCAGAAATGACTTGTAGTCCACTATCAAGCTTAAATTCCTAAATGAGAAGACATTTTCTTGTTTTCAGTATTGATATTTCCTACAGGAGAGCAGTATAACCAGGGATAGCTTTATTCTTCATTGACTTTTTAATTACTATAAAAGTCACATTGAGAAGTTCATTATGCTTTATGTGGTAAGCAGTGTTTAGCATTTGTGTATCCTGACATGCATTATATATTTAAAAATTTTCTGCCATAAATATCCGACAGTAATACATATTAACACTTGTATAAGGCAACTATGTCTGATTTTCCTTTCAGGTAATCTATGTTCTATCAATTTGGGGAATCAGAGGTGCATTAAGATTGGCCATGTCTTCACGTGCACTGACCATCAATGACAACAATCATACAATTAGAAGGATTAACTTCTAGCAAACAAGAATTTGCAACCACTCCTTGCTCTACACACCTATGCACAAAATATGTCCTTATCATGTGCTTGATCTGCATAGTTCTGTATCATTCCTGGGGCACTGTAATATTACTCATTGAACTCCCTTTGTGCCCTTTACATACCCAGTAGAAACACCTTCCTGTTGCTGTTGTGTAAAGAAAACAGTAACCACAGGTCTCAGCATAGGTCCTCTGAATGCTAAGCAGGAAAAACAGTGAATCTCAGGAAATACTTCATTCAAGCTTTGTCTGTAAAATTACATGGAATTGTAAAATTACATGGAATAAAATAGTCCTGCCTCCTCTCTCTTTTCTCTCCATGGTTTTGAGCATATGACCTTCTCCCACACACAGTTTTCGTTAAAACTGAGAACAGGGGAGAAAAGGCAGCTAAACTTTAAAGGAACCATTAACATGCTAAGTGTTTTCTTTGCACATAGATCAAAACAACGTGATTAGGATCAAACTCAATGTCCAGTCTCTTTTGATGTTATTTCTCCTCCATAGGAAAAGTCACTTCTTGATATATAATAAAGATACCATAAAATGTTACCTTCATTTAAAACTATGGAAGAAATTCCAAGAGCGAAAAAACCTAACTCATTGAGGGCTCCAGCCTAGAAGAAAATTTGCATTAGCTATGGGCCATCATGTAAATATACTAGCTACAGGACTAATCACTAGCAGTAAACAAATATTTGAAGAGAAGGCTTCATACAGCACTTGCATGGCAAGAAATTAGCTATAAAAATCAATTATGCATCATTATCACCAGACAGTATGCATCCAGGAGATTCATCTCAGGAAACACAAACCAAGCACCTGGTCAAGTGCAAACACCTCATTTTGCAATTTATAGCCCAGCCAGGGACACATTATTCACAGAGGTCACTTACCTCATCCTCTTGGGAAGGGAAAAAGGAATCTTAAAGCAAAGGCATAATGACACAGCAAAGAAAGTCAGTCCTTGAAAATCACTGAAAAATAAACTCTAAGCTGTGAATAATGCAAACAAATTTATTCATATAAAGGAAGAGAAAAGCTTCTCCTACTGTGAACTGCCACATTCTGCTCAAGATGAGGTTTCTATTGTGGCTTTATGTAAAGGGAAGAATTTAGGCTGCAGCGAAGAGTGGAGTAACTCCATTAGTGCTCTATATTCACGCTTGTGGTGACCAAGGGAAGACTGAGCAGAAGTGGATCCCTAGTTCATACAAAATTAAATTCTTTTACTGTAGTCAGTTTATTGATCCTGCCTCACTTCAGCGATGGAATAGGTTTTATTAATTTGATTCAAAGTGATTGAAACCTAGTGGAAGTTCTCACTCTGAATCAGGTCTTTGGGAAGAGTTTCTACTCAGTAAGCCTGAAACTAAATCTTTGTTATAAAAAAAAAAATTATGTTTTTTTTTTCTTGAGGCAGATGCTATCTCCTTTTGCTTAGTACTTGTTCGGGACAATAGGGTTGTAGTACTTCAAATAATAATCCAGGACAACTATTATAAAACTAATATATAAATACTCATACTACATCATTATTCCATTAATAATGAGGTAATAGACTGGCATCTATGTTCTTTGAGTAGCCTTGAAAATCTCCATGATTGCTGTCCATTTCTTTGCTTGGTTTTTGTTCTTTTTTAGAGAAGAGACCAGTATTAAATTGGAGATGTCTATGTACAATAACAGATTAAAACAAAATGCAAAAGAACAGATGGATCTGTGGATCCAGAAAGAAGCAAGAATGCTTTTGCAAAGATACCTTCAAACAAGCTTGGGACCTTGTGTGTCATTGGTGTGAAACAGATATGAGAAAACTGCAATTCATTTAAGCTTTCCTTCTTGCTGAAGCATTTTTCCTTATGAAACACAATTACCACGGTAGGTCTCTCAGTGTATTCCCAATGGTCTCATCAACAAGAAATAGTGACAGGAAATCTTACAATGAAAATCCATAACATGCGCCTCTTATGACTCAACAACAGGTACCACTAGAAAGGAGGTTAAAAAACAAGTTTGGAAGGTCATCGTGTGATGAAATATAGGTAAGAATTGCAGACAAGGAAATGGCAGCATTATGAACATATTTTTACCCAATGATGAACAGCTTCAGACAGCACTACACATAGAGGCAGAGTGAAGCAGACGCAGCATTCAAGGCTACAGTACAGACCAGCCCAACTATTAAGATTCAAGAGTGTAAAATCTAGCTCCAAGGTAGATTGTTAGGTCAAAGATGAAATCTTGCAGAGAGAAAAGGAGGTAGCAGCACCCAGTCTTCCTCTCAGAGTAGCAAAAAAAAAAAAAAATCCAAAATGCTTTCAAAGCAATGGGATAAGCACCTTTCCCCCTCTCTTATTTTCTTAACTTTCCGTATTTACTCCTTCCCTGCTTTTCCTTCTATTCTTCCTCTTAACTGGCTTACCTTTTCATAGTCCACTTATTTTCTGGAAGGCAGCAAGAAGCATCTGTTAGCTTAGAAAAGATCTCCATGCTTGTACTTCACTCAAGTATATTGGAAACAGCTGCACATTTATACCAAGGAAAACTTTTGTTTTTCTTAATTTCTGCTACCTACAATCTCTTTTTGTTTCCCTCAAAATTTACCTTCAGTTAAGTGCACTGTATTTCATTGCTGCTGCTGCTCCTGGGTATATATTGTTGAGTTTTTCTTTACTGTAACTCTATGAATTGACTGGCTATGTTTCATTAATTTTGCAGGGCTGTGGAGAAAAAAAAAAGGCAATTTCTTTACTTTAGAATACTGCCATTTATTAGCATAATAAAACTCTCAAGAAATTGCAGTTTTCTAAGTAATATCATGTGCAGGGGAACTTACAAGGGCTTTATTTTAAAGCTAGGTAAAACTTAGAATAAGAAATTGATGTAATTCAGATAGAAAAATTTAGAAAATTAGAATTTAGGGAATGTGCTCTGAAGTGACAATGATGATGCTGTTCTAATGTTAATCACATCACAAGAGGCCAAATAAGCTAGAGTTGGTTTGTTTGTTTAGGGGTCTTTTTTAAGTTCATAAAGGCAAAACACCAGTCTGCAAAGATGCCTAGGTGTGTAAATACCACCTTAATTGTTCAGTACCACCTCTGGACCCTCAGTTCTACACAGCCAGCTGCTGCTTTCTGGCCTCAGGGTAAGTCTATGGATACCTTAACTTTAAAAAGCCCCTTCCCATTCTCCTTTAAAGTGGGGGTCCAGTTGTTCTGTGATGGCACATGTGCAGCTGTGAATAATTCCAGGCCAAGGTGGTTCTAGAGATGCCTTTTATAGAGGGAACAAGTGCAGAGCTGGTTTCTCAGAGGAAGCATCTCACAGGTACTGAGGTTCTTTGGAAAAATTAACCACGAAGTTACAGTAACACATATGGATTGGTCCACATTACACCTCAAAATACACATCACGTATGAAAAGCACAGAGAAACTGCCTATTAAAGGCATGGCTATGACACTATCCAATAGGTACACATCTACTTCCCTCACGTTCCACTTCACTCTTGAAACAAATCAGTTGCATGCAAAACTCCCACAATCTTGTTATTTGAAATATTGCCCTGCAAAATGAATGCCTGGAGCTGAAAAAACCCCACTTCTATATTCAGCAGTTTCTATCTGGCCATTTATGGGAACAGAGCACAGGAAGGTAATAGGAACAGTTTTGCAGCTCTCTCACTCCATTTTCTGAATTGACTGCCCTGGGAGTGCCCAGCCTACCAATGAAACAATGCAGGACTACATCTATACCAGTGAGAACAGTGCCCAGAGTGCAAGAATGGCTGAGACATAAATTTCAAGAGGATAAATTAACTACTGTGATGATATTTTATTATTTTTATAGTCCACAAGCTAAGCAAGTACTCCACAGATCTCACCTCCTGGTCTATTTACATGGGGTTAATACATATAGCAAATGGATGAGGAACACATTATGTGCATCTTTTTTAAACATTAAATAGCATGATGATAATGTAGTTAGTTGTACCTTTTCTACGTACAAATATACCAGCCCACTATCACTTATAACTCTGCTAAGGAAAATACCTGGTCCTACAGCAAAGTAAAGCTAGAAATGTCCAGTGTGTCTCTTGCACATTTAAAAGTAGAAAACATGACAAGGACAGTGAGAGAATTGCAGCAAGTCAAACTGTTTTCTTTAGAATAAACTGACCACTTACTGTACAGGAGTAAAGTTTCTTCCAAGGCTGCTGGACTGCATGAAATTGTAAATATAATGTGTATGACCTTGTTCTGTCTCTGCTGTGAGGAATTTTGTAGGCCTGAATTCAAAAGCATAATGCCAAGTTTCAAGCTACACCTACCTATCTAAGCAATCACAAACTGCAGAAGGGTGTTTTAAGACTGCTTCTCTTGTTATCAAAAGTGCACCACCAAGTAATGAGGTTGTCAACAAAACCTGACAAACCTTGCTTTGGAAAAAAGAATCTGTTTACCAACACTGGTACTTCATACAGTACTCTATGAACAGTTCCTGGCTGTGCTTCTTGCTGCATCAGACATGAAAAAATTAGGATAGGAAGTTAGCATTCAGTGCAATTGGCCACAATCCCTTGAAAATTTTCTGGGAGTAGTCCTTTTTAGTAATTTGCTGGTAATTTTTCACCTTTCACTTGCTAACAACATGAATAATGATGATAAATCAGACGCAAAACAGGAATAGTTTAGGCCTTCTATTGAGGATACTTTTTGGCCACAAGACCAGTGGCTTTGGAAGTTTGTTAAATACTTTCAATGTTTACTTTTGTAGTTATTTATTACTACAGCTATTCAGAATGAGTCCCTGTTAGTCCTGGATCAGTTATTCAAATAAAGGACTGTAGTCTGGTGGATTCTTCTGCTGTCCACATGGCTCCAGTAGTAGCTCCCCACCTGATGATGTGATGATTTCTTCCTGGAAAGATAAAACCAATTAAAATATCAAAGATCTAAGCCTTCCCTCTCTTCTAAGAATAGCAATAAAGACCATCACTCCACTGTCACTGGCAACCAATTATGAATAAACACTTGATAAAATAATTACAGATCAGAAAAGGGATCCTATCAACTAATCATTTTCTTCATGCTTTGTTTATCTTGTACTTACCCTGGTAGTAACTTGTGCTACTATCAAATAATGCAATCAGTGTATGCAAGAGGCTGAGGTTTGTACTGCTTGCAAGTTGCTACACTACTTAGGAAAACCAGCTGCAGATGCCCATAAAGGATGTTCTCATGGGTTAATTTAACAGACATATGCCAGTCTTCCTATGCTATTTCCACAATCATTCCATAGGATGAAAGAAGCTTCCCTGGGCAGACAGAGCAAGAGTTCAACATTGAGTGCTCACATACAACACAAACAACTTTCTGACTGATTACAGAAATGTGAGACATTAACCCTACTAGGATAAAGACAGTCTTTACAAATAGCACCTATTCTCATTAATTAAATATTCACATGCCAAGTGTATATTTCCAGTAACTGATTACCAATTCACTTACTGTAAAAGTAGATAACCTGGTCTTTGCACTTATTCCTACAGTAATGACTGTCCATTTTTGGTTTTGTAGAAGTTTAAGATTTATAGATGCACCAAAATGAGCCAGGATCCAGACATGGTATTGACTAAAATAGCAATCCTTCATTTGAACATATAGATCCAAGTTGTGGCTCTGTAAATGGGCCTAACATGTTCAAAAGCTATCTAGTTTCTATTAAAATTCAATGCAAATTTGGTGCCTGATTTCTTCAAAATGTGTGCAGGCTCCCAGTTGTCATTCCTTCCCAGTCACCACATCAGACTGAGAATAAGTTCAGAAAGTTATTACCTAAACTAAATGATTTTCAGAATCAAAGAACCACAGAAGCATTTAGGTTGGAAAAGACTCTAAGATCACTGAGTCCAACCTTCGACGGATCACCACCTTGTCAACTAGATAAGGTTATGAGGAAGTAAATACAAGTATTCAGCAACTATCTTCGAGATTTTATTGCTGCTTTCCACACAGTATTTAAATGAAAATAATAAAAAGAGAAGATTCACAGTGGTACTTTATTCTGTAAGGTTTGTTCTTTCAGCTAATGGTTATCACTTGTGTCTGTCAGTTGAGTTGCTTGAATGACCTGTTCTTATTTTCTTTAATCAAAATGAAGCAAAATGAATCAATAAGTACAAGCAAGTAAAAAACTTATCATACTAGTCCTGCTTATTTTGATTGAAAGTGAAAAAGACCCTCAAAGATAAGTCCATGCAACCCATGGGGTGGGGAAGTATACTCTTGACAAAAATAGTCCTGAAGAAAGCAGTACTTTCTCCAAATGATACAGCAATAGCTGTAAAAGAAAGTGTGCCCACAGCACAACCATTTACATACAGATTGCTTAGTTGGTTACCAGAAGGCTTTGGGACACTTGACAGTGTACTTCACCAGAAAGGGCAGGAAGAAAAGCTTCAAAGGAAACCATGTGACAGACAGGATAAGATGCCTCCTGAAGGGATTGCCAAAGAGACTGGTTTTAATACAGCTATAAGCTAGACAGTTAAGAGAATTGTGATGAACCAGTTTCTCTCTGATAGACTTCCTACAGGGGCAGCTATTAACTATTATCAGGGGACACCTAAGAAAGTGTTGTTTTTTTGTTTTAATGGCAGGAACTAAAAGTCATTCTGCTTCTGACAAGTGCTCTACTGCTGTCTGTAAATAGATGTGTCTCTGATTGCTTAGTATGAGCTGTGATGAAAATACAGGAACGTAGCTGGAGCAGAGCTGGTTGGAATTGGTTGTCACCATCACCCCTCTACAGGAGCAGAGAGGATACTACATGAGCCAAAGGTCCTACATCTAATACCTGACAATCTGCATTTGAGGTGTTGCATATCTGCTTTTCTTTCCCTGACAAGCCTCCGGTTTGACTCTTTCCAGTTGTACTGGGTCTGGCTGGAGTAGAGTTAACTTTCTTCACAGTAGCCTGTGCTGAATTGGGATGTTGTGTTTTTAATTTGTGGCTAAGATAGTATGGATAACACACCATGGTTCTGGCCATTGCTGATCAGTGCTTGCACAGCATCAAGGCTCTTTTTTTCCTACTTGGGCCCTGCTGGCAGAGTAGGCTGGAAATAAGGGAGAAGCTAGGAGGGGACACAGCCCTGTTGGTTGACCCAAACTGGCCAAAAGGATATTCCATACCATATAATGTCATGTTCAGCAATAAAAACTGAGGCAGAGGAATAAGAAGGGAACAGGGGATTTTGTCTTCCAAGGTGGCCATTGAGAGAAGATTTCATCAAATTAGGAGAGGATGTATTTTTTAGGCAAACGGGACACCTACTATATCCCCATGTGGAAATATAACTTGTGGACATATAACGTAATAGTCATCTGTGAGGGGACACTAAGGCAACACTAAACAGATGTTGCAAACTAGGTAAGGTAAAAAAAAGGTTTAAAAGAGGGTGAATTTAGAAGAAAAATAACCTTTGTGAGGCTAAACACTTAAAAAATAAAAGCTGTGAAGAAAAGGAGGAGCAAAAAATGTATAAAATTACTTAGAGACAAGAATGAGAAAAGGATAAAAAAGGGAAAAGGAACTAGAAAAGAGAGGATGAAGAGAAATTATAAGGGCAGCTAAGAAAAAAGCAATTAAAACTGATGAAGATGGAGAGAGATACAAGATCATGAAAACAACTTATGCTATCAGAAACAGTGCTACTGTTTAGTTACAGTCTGGCAACAGGAAACAAAAGTCAGAGGCAAAGTAATTCAAACCCATGTAAAGTCGAGTAGTAAATTACTCTTGTAAGATTGCTTTGGGTAATAAGGAGTGACCCTTAACATGTCCCTAAAAGGGAACCTCTCCATGTTCTCTTCACCCTCTTTACTGCAGGGCCCTGCTCCCTTGCTTTTGCACATTACAGCCCTCACATCAAAGGTAGACAAATGCTGAAATTTCATTGAAAGACCTTTCTATGGCATTTCCAGTGCAATTTTCCACAGGAAAAAAAACGAAAAAGCATTAGCTCTGTGAGCCCTTATTAGTCCATTTGTAGCCAAGGAGAGCATGTGTTGTGTAAGAGGAGACAAACACATGCTGAAGCATTTTAAAGAAGGAGAAAAGCCTTCTGATTCACTGCAACAAAAGACACACACTATGAACGTTACAACTAGTCTTAGTGTAGAATATTCTTTCCCCCACTATGGCCATTATTATTTTCCAATGTGGTCTCAAATTACACAGCTCCTCGTTAAATTATTAATTCGTTCCACTCAGCTATTGATCTCTAGCTAGCACAAGTGTTACCTTGTGAAAATCGATCAGATCTGTGAGTGTTGCGTGTCGGTTTGGATCTACCCCCAAGAAGCTGTAGAAATCCCCCGAAGCATCAACCAGGAAATGCTTGAACCCGCTTTGCTGGCGATAAGACAACGCGTAGCCCCAGATTTTCTCACTGACTCGCACCAGGAATGTGCCTTCAGACTTATTCATCAGCAACTCTTCTGCCTCCTGACGGCTGATAATACCTGGCAAAAAAAACCCAAACAACTATAGTTATGCAGGTAACAAGTCTGTCAGAGGCAACCAAATACAACAAATACAGAGCAGTGGTGAAATTAAAATGGTGTAACTTCTGAAGACTGAAATGTTTACATTCAGGAGTAGAAGCGAGGGAGACAATATTTATGCTCTTTCCTTCTGAAGGAGAGCTATAAGATGGAGTCTGGTGGGATAAACTTTTTAATTCTGTGATGAAGAATTTTTTTTCCATCCTTACTGCTTTTCCAAAGAAAGCGCATGAATGCAACTGGCCTCTCAGATTAAAGAATTCTGTACAAGGGATCATTTAAGCAGATGGTTTGGCATTGCAATCTGAATTTGCAATACATTGCTGGTAATTGCAAATATATTGCAGTTTTTGGGACTCTGTTACCTTACAAGTATTTTATAGGTCCTAAAGAAGGAATGCAAAGCAAGTGCCAGGAGAAAAAGTATTTCTCTGCTTTTGTACATACACACACATATCCATAGATGCACATAGATAAACTGGAGCACAAAGAAATCAAATCCTGCTCATAGACATGGGTATGTTAGATGACTTATTCACAGGCTTGTGTTTCTAGGAAACATTGTCACAGAGGAAAACAAGAAACAAAGATTGTTCTGCATTTCCTTCTGGGACCTTTCAGGCTTAATAGCAGAGTAATAGTCTCCTCCAGTTAAAAACTGTATCTGTGACCTAAAAGAGTCCCCACACAAAGAAAAGATTGAATATTGTATTTGTTGACCAGAAGTGAGTTCATCTTTATAATTCATAGTGAACACTTATGACCTACGCACCTTGCTCTACAACAAGAGAAGACAAAATTAGTTGGGGCTTCTTGCAGTATGTGTCATCCTGTGGTCACTTTCTCTGTGAGATAGTTTACCTCTCTGGACAAGTTCCATCAGGAAAAAAATTTTCTCCCTGTACCCTGGTCACCAAGTAGTTGATTTATAGGTGAATTTATTCCTTTATTGTATGACAAACTTATTTTTCAGGCTGAAAGTATCACAAATTCAGATTTTCAGAGTAAGAAAAGGAAAAGGTTTAAAAAGAATAGAGCTCTCAAGAACTTTCCCATTTTATTCTTCTATGTTGGAAAAATCTTCCTCTCTCTTTTTCTTTCTGAAGGGCACAACACTTCTTTCCTAGGGCATAAACTGAAGTTGCTAGTACTTCTGCCTGCAAACAGTATATAACAGACAAACCTTATTCTGATCACAACCCATGTAAAAGGTGTGATCAAAATTGCACCCAGCACTGACCCAGGTCTTACCATCCACCTAGAAAGCCTGGTTCCACTTTGTCTGATAGGCCTAGAGGACAGTAAGCTCATGTCTCAATTATTTGTGAAACACCAGATGCTCACTTTCAT